TGTAGCGCATTGCGCCACCCTGCAGGGGGGGAGGGACAGGGCAGAGGCAGCGGCCCAAAAGAGGGGGCAGGAGGGGAGCGAGGCCGCTCGGGGGGACGGGTCGCGCCCCGGTCTCAACCCAACATGCGAAGTCCTGTTTTTTTTCTCGATCGGGGGCCCAGAAAGTCCCCACCCCTTCTGCGAGGAATGTGTGTTCCTCCCGCGCCGATGCACTTGTCTGACGGCCCCTGGGGCCTGGCGAGGGCCCGCGGAGGCCGAAACGACGGCCCGAAACCTTCCACCGCGCTGCTGCTTCACGGCGCGAGCCTGCCAAGCCTCGAGAGCTGGTGCTGGATGCGGGCTTCCCTTCCTCGAGATGGTGATGGCGTTGCCGAAGGATTCGAGGATGGGCTGCGCCTGCACGACCCGCGCCTGGATGTGCGAGGCCAGCTCCGGCCGCGCTCCCCCGGCCTGGCGCGAGGCGTAGGCCTGACGGGGGCAACGTGCCGGGGCCAAGGTAGCCCGAAGCAGGACTTTGACTATGAGGACCCCCCGCCTGTCTCTCCCGGCGGGGGAATAAGCTCCGGCCCTCCTCCTCCTCCTCCTCCTCCTCCTCCTTCTCCTCCTCCTTCTGCTCCTGCTCCTGCTCCTCCTGCTCTTCCTCCTCCTCCTCCTCCTCCTCCTCCTCCCCCTCCTCCTCTGTCGTTGTCGCGCGGCGGGTGCCGCGGAGAAACAATGGCTTTCCACTATTGGTGCAACCCCAGTCCGCCAAAAGGGGCGTTAATATATATATATATATATATATATATAGTTTCTTCGACTGGGCGGGTTCTATAGACCAACCTCGGTCAAGGACATGAACACAACCTGTCGGAGGTCCGTACGGACCTCCCAAGAGTTTATGACCCGAAAGCCGCCAGGGGACTCGCCGATGGATCAGCGATGGACTACTGGACCCGTGTCGGCGAGGTGTGGGCGCATCGGGGGTCGAAGCGTCCCCCCCTGAGACCATCCCCCCTCAGCGTTTCCCCCTGAAGGCCAAGTACTCCGTCACGATCTTGGCCGTCTCCGTCTTGCCAGCGCCGGACTCGCCAGAGATCAGCAGGCTCTGGCTCCTGTGTAGGAACGACCAGAGAACATGACCTCCCGAAAATCCGCACGGATTTCTCAGATCGGCGCTGGCCCCCCCCCCCTGCCTGGCGCCGGATTGCGACAGGGGCGGCGCAGGACGCGCTGCCAGGGGGGACTCCGGCGCCGATCCAAAGAATCCTCGCGGAGCTCCGAAAGTTCACGTTTATGGTTAAGTCGGGCCTGTCCTTCTACAGGGGGAATGCTCAAATATAGTATGTTTTTTTCCAGGCAACGAAATCGCCTGAAGGTTCGATTCGATCGCTCTGCCACACTTGAGATCCGCTCCCCTCCGGGGGGCTATCCGACCGCACGCGCGCGACAAAGCAGCCGACAGCAGTGCAATAAATAAGGCGAAAACCTACAGTAGCCCCGGACTCGGGCAATGGGGGGAGGGGAAGGAGGGAGGAAGCGGAGGAACGGCGAGGGGGAGAGGAAAAGAGAAGCTGTGTGGACATCCCCGTTTGGCCTCGTCGGCCGAATAGCTACAATCACACACAGTGACCGTAAGAAAGGAGGACTATTTTTGAGCATTCTTCGGCATCTTTTGAATATGTGTTTGATATGTTTTATTTGTCGTCCAAAATCTCCCTGTAGGGGGACAGGCCCGACCTAAAAGGTTCTCCTCCTCGTTCCTGGTCGAGGCCAGCGGCCGACGCCGCTGTACCTCCCGGGCCTTGCCTGGAATGCGTTCGAGCGGAGGCCTCGAGGCGCAGCCGGCCTTGGCGCCAAGGGCCTCCCGCGAGGCCCACCAAAGTTGGAGGTCGCTTGGGGGGCAGCGTTGTTTCCAGGGCCAGATCCCAATACGCTCAGCCGGCGCGCTTGATCCGTCAATAACAACCCTTACGACACCCATTCGCGACAAGTTCGGACCTCAGGTTGGCTCTTAGCAACGATTGGGCTGCTAAGGCTTGCTCTTACGCTATGAGCATTACCTCCTCCTCCTCCTCGCCCCAGAAACACAAATCGCGTTCGCTGCCCCTCAGCGAGCTGAAACACCAAAGGCCCAAACACAGGAACGGCAGAGCTCCGACAGATGATATGTTGATGTGTTTGCTTTCTTCGTCGCCCCGGCGCTCCTATAGGCCTACTATAAAGTACTCTGTCAACGCATGGTGTCACACCAAACACAAGGAGGCGCTCTCGCTGCAGGAAAAGACGTGTGACAACGAGACGGCCTCAACCAGGAGGGTTCTAAGAGCGTTTTCTACCAACCGCAACAAGTTATCGTGACATGTCTGGTGTGCTTAGCAGCATGCCAAGGCGCTTCGGGGCTTTCTCCAGAGACGTGCGGGGGCGTTGCCAGGTCCTCGGTTCTCAGTGTGCGAAGCGCTTGGGTGGCAGAGACGCCTCGGGACGAATCGATGCTGCTGGCAAGGCTCGCTGCGTCGGATCAAAAGGATCCTCGCAGGGCGCCATCCCACAGCGGCCAGCAGGCTCCTCTGCTCTTCTCGTTCTGCATCGATTTCGGCCCCCGAGACCGAAGTCGGGACCTAGCGCGGCCCCGGCTTCGGGTCTGACCCTCACCTGGCCATCGCTCGGACGTCCATTCCCTGTGTTTTCGTAGGTTTCGTGCATGGCTTCTTCGCAGGATGATCCAGGATGCTTCTTATAGTCCCCGCCGAGAACAAGTGCACACGTCCGAGCGAAACCAAGTCACCTGCGGGCCTATAGAACTCGTGTCCGCCCAAAGCTCTGACCGGGAGCCCCTGCGCCCCCAGACATCCGGCTGCTCCACTGTTCTCTTGAGGCGTGGGCCTCGGAGGCCTGGACCACTTCCCGATAGGGCCGGCGTTTCGCTCCGTGGCTGAAGGGGCCCTGGGACACACAAATAAACACGCACAGATAACAGGATCCCCCACCATTTCCCTGTATTTTTGGGGGTGTTGTCTTCCCCCCCTACATCCCATATTTTTACAAATTTTCCTGGGAATCGACGGTTCTTTGTGCCTGTGCGTTTTTCCCCTCCCGAGCGTCGTGCTGTTGGCGGCCCCGAGCCCCGGCGAGGGCCGCTCCGGAGGCCGAAGTCGGCTCAAAGGGCCGCCCGCCCCGAGTCTCTTTTGGGAGCGTCGGATCGCTGGGCGGGAGCCCCTACAGTCGGGGCGTTGACCTAAGGGACCCCAAATAAGGAACGGGGCCCCTATTTTCCATTCGATTTCGTATCGAAGACCTAGGGAACATCCAAGGCAAGCTGCGAAACATCTAAGGAACACGGAGCCCCTCCCCAACGAAAAGGGTTCCTTCTTCAGGGCCCCGACTGTATGCTCAGCGCTGTTGCTGAAAGGCTAGCAGGCTGCCGCGCAGCAGCGCCACGCAAAAGCAGGTCGGTTGGACGGAACAAAAAGAATAGTTAACACAAGTGCACAACAAAGAGCCAAACATGTAGTCAAAACATCGCCCCCAGACTATTGCCTCACTATTTTTCCCCATATCCTGAGATGGGGTTCTTGTTATTACTTGGACGCCTCCTACTCCCTTTTCCTCCTCCTCTTTCCTCCTCCCCTCCTGTCGGAGTTACTCATACTCAGACTTGCTCCTACCCAGACTTGCTCATACACAGACTTACTCATACTCAGAAACTCTCATACTCAGATCTACGCATACTCAGACCTACTCTTACCCAGACATACTCATACTCAGACTTACTCATATTCAGACATACTCATACTCAGGCATATTCATACTCAGACCTACTCATACTCAGACTTACTCATACTCAGACTTACTCATACTCAGACATTCTCATACCCAGACGTACTCATACTCAGACTTACTCATACTCAGACATATCCATACTCAGACTTACTCATACTCAGACTTACTCATACCCAGGCGTACTCATACTCAGACTTACTCATAGTCTGAAACTTACTCAACACACAGCAGATTGTGAGGATGTCTCAGGCGGGGCGCTGGTTTCAGCACCCCTAAGGGGAGCCGCCAGGGGTGGTTGCACGGGTTCGTTCGCGGCCATTTTGTGGGGATGTCTCAAGGCGGTTTGCGTGTTTCTGGGCCCAACATCCTTCGCTTGGAGGCAGATTGTGAGGATGTCTCAGGCGGGGCGCTGGTTTCAGCACCCCTAAGGGGAGCCGCCAGGGGTGGTTGCACGGGCTCGTTCGCGGCCATTTTGTGGGGATGTCTCAGGCGGTTTGCTTGTTTCTGGGCCCAACATCCTTCGCTTGGAGAGCAGATTGTGAGGATGTCTCAGGCGGGGCGCTGGTTTCAGCACCCCTAAGGGGAGCCGCCAGGGGTGTTGCACGGGCTCGTTCGCGGCCATTTTGTGGGGATGTCTCAGGCGGTTTGCTTGTTTCTGGGCCCAACATCCTTCGCTTGGAGAGCAGATTGTGAGGATGTCTCAGGCGGGGCGCTGGTTTCAGCACCCCTAAGGGGAGCCGCCAGGGGTGGTTGCACGGGCTCGTTCGCGGCCATTTTGTGGGGATGTCTCAGGCGGTTTGCTTGTTTCTGGGCAACATCCTTCGCTTCGCAGATTGTGAGGATGTCTCAGGCGGGGCGCTGGTTTCAGCACCCCTAAGGGGAGCCGCCAGGGGTGGTTGCACGGGCTCGTTCGCGGCCATTTTGTGGGGATGTCTCCGGCGGTTTGCTTGTTTCTGGGCCCAACATCCTTCGCTTGGAGAGCAGATTGTGAGGATGTCTCAGGCGGGGCGCTGGTTTCAGCACCCCTAAGGGGAGCCGCCAGGGGTGGTTGCACGGGCTCGTTCGCGGCCATTTTGTGGGGATGTCTCCGGCGGTTTGCCTGTTTCTGGGCTCAACATCCTTCGCTCGGAGAGCAGATTGTGAGGATGTCTCAGGCGGGGCGCTGGTTTCAGCACCCCTAAGGGGAGCCGCCAGGGGTGGTTGCACGGGCTCGTTCGCGGCCATTTTGTGGGGATGTCTCAGGCGGTTTGCTTGTTTCTCGTGGCACTATCCTCCAACATGACATGCACTTATGGCCTTGTGTGGCTAAACGCTCGTCTTACATATCCCACTGCCAACTATCCTACAACATATGCACATGTGGGAAGCTCCAAAGCTACCACGGGCTGAAAAGGGGAAGGCCTGGCAGCTGAGGAGGGGGGATGAAGAGGAAGAGGCTCGCATTCAACCATACTCAAAGCTCACTCTGACTCATACGCAATCACTCGCATTAGGGGTCACTCGTCTTCGTCGGCCCTGTCGCCCACGTGGACGCGCTATTGTAGTCGACCGCTCATGAACAGACGCTCGCCACGGTATGACATAAAACGTGAGATGCACATGTGGGGAGCTCCACGCAGTGAGTAGTTGAGCACTCCAAAGCTGTAGAAGGACAGGCCCGACTGAACCGTAAAACAAAAAGAGCTGGGGCGCTTCGTCACCGCTTGGCTCCTCTGCCCGTGCACCAGGGAGCGGTGGGCCGCCTCCGCGATGGCGTACGGGTGCGGCGCCAGGGCACCCAGGGGCCTGCCCCGGTAGCGGGCGCACTGCTCGTCGCCGTACAGCCCGCCGATGCGCCTGCCGGCAGCGTCCACCACGGCGCCCAGAGTTCAGGGGAGGAGAGGCTGACGACACCGCTGCTCGTCCTGAAGGTTCCTCGCCATCACGGCTGGACGATCCTTGTCAGAACGCGCCCCGTGAGAGGTCCGGGGAACAGCGGTAGCGGTACGCTCTTGTCCCCCCGACAGCGGGGTGGCGCGAGCTAAACAGGCAAGGGGGGGTTCTAAGAAGGCAGGGGCCTTCGCAAAAGCACCTGGAGGGCTTCTGAGAAGGCTTCGTCGAAGACGGGCGGGCATCCAAGAAGCCCCCTCTCTGCCTTCTTAGACACGCCGCGAAAATATATGCACAGACGCCCTCCGACGAATTTTGCATGTACCTTCAGGGAGGAGGCGGCGTAGAAAGTCGGTAGCTCTCAACTGCAATTTATACACCGCCGCGCTCCCCTGAGGCCCAGGAACAATCCATCGGAGGGCGTCTGTGTATATATCTTGGTGGCGGATAGAAGCCCAGCCGCCATCTCAGACGCGTGACACCCTTTGGTGGGCGCCGCCATGCCTGTACGGGTTGACGGCGAGGAGCACGCTGGCGGTGTACGTGTAGATCTGATCCCGGCGGTGCCTGCCCCCAAAGGTCCGATTGTCCTGGGGCCCCTTCCCAAGCCCCCGGGCCCGGGACCATCAACAGCGGATCCGGGACGAGGAGGTGAAGGAGGAGGCGGGAAGGTGGAGGGCGGAGGAGGAGGCGGGAAGGAGGAGGGCGGGAAGGAGGAGGGCGGGAAGGAGGAGGAGGAGGAGGAGGAGGAGGAGGAGGAGGAGGAGGAGGAGGAGGAGGGAAGGAGGAGGAGGGGGAGGAGGAGAGGAGGAGAAACGACCCCTCTGGGGAAGAGGCTGGGGCCTCGCGGGCCGCGGCGTACGTGAGTATATCATTGCGGTTACTTTCCAGACCCCCTCGCGTCGCGAGCAAATCACGACGCAGACCTTTTGCACACGCTCGGCCCCTGGGGGCCCCTTACGGGGCCTCGGGACCATCAGAGCACGAAGCGAAACCAAGAACTGCTCCGCGGATTGAATTGAGCAAAACAGGTCGGGGGATGTCAGGGTGAAACCATACTGGCAACTCGTCGGAAGAAACGATACAGAGCCAGGATCGCACAAAAGTGTCCGCTTTCTCCGCACATCATCATAACAATTCTCACGATTCCGCTCACGGTGTGCTGGTTATTATTAAAGCTTGGATGCGTGGCTACCCGGAACGTGCTGAACGCAGATGGCACGATCGCGACAGCATAACAATCTTCAAGCAAAGCTAAGCGTAATCGTAGACGAAGGGCGCAAACCAGACTTGGAATTGAACTGGAGCAAAATCTTGCTGATGCAGATGTCAACAAACAGATAGATCACGAACCAAAATGGGGACGACATCAAGACTGTCCAGGACGCGGTATACTCACGGGCCTTGCGTCTTGCGATGCGAGGGCTGCAACGGGTTGTCTGGAATATTAGGAGAGGCTAATACGACGGTCAAGCAACTGGAGAAGTATGCTCTGGACCGGAGCTTGTGTGGAAGCGAAAATAAACGATGTACGGGACTGTCGTCTTGAGCAAGCTCCTGCACGCATTGGATTCTCTGCGGTTGCTGAGAGCTGACCGTGATCGTGTAGACCCTTGTCATTGCGAGTGCGTGCGACGACTGCTGGGCGTTTCACCTTCATACATTTCCAAAATGCACAACGACACAGTGTTGGAGGAGGCGGCGGCGACCCCGTTGTCGAACACATGTCTTGCAGACAGCTAGACTTGTAGGGAAAAGATCTGCTCATGAAGGTAATTCGTTGTGAAGTTTGTGCCCATCAGAGCAGACGGGTCGCCAAGAGACGACGACTCCGCCAACCAAGATACAATCGACGTGTACAAGCTGACA